ATATATATAATAATATATATATAAATAATATATATATATGTATATATATATATATATATAATAGAAAGAGCATCGCCCACTTTGCGTAGCAAGTAGTGTATAATGATACCGTACCCCGCGGGTAGGTTATGTGTAGATGCAATGGGCTAGCGCAGAGGCGTTCAAATGGGTTGACCCAACAAATAGGCCGTGTGGGATTCAAATGATCCACCACTCAGTGCAAGTCTTATTCTCTCTACTCATGAAATTTTTATTCTCTCTACTAAAGCCAGACTTATTTTCTCTACCAATGCAAGTCTTATATGCACATACGCGGTGCATAAACCGCACATCTCAATACAAATCTTGCGCTTTCGTTTAACAGTCAGGCTGTACGATAGTTATGACACAGAGGGGCACTTCTTCTTGGTCTTCGAATTGGCTAAGACGGGTGAACTGTTTGAGCTGCTGACGGAGAAAGTGTTTGTGTCCGAAGTAGAAGCACAGTAAGTCGTCCATACGTGTGTTCTGCGGCTGTTGGATACTCAAGAGATGTGCCTGGGCTGTATCATTCGCTTCGTATTGATGTGTGTGGGCTGTACCCATGGCTTCGTATTTGTACGTTTTGTGTGTGCTGTTTCAGAGTGCTCTTGCTTGATGTGGGCCGATGTCTCATACGTGCCACATATGCTCAGATCTCAGGCGCAAACGGGGATTGCAAATCTAGGACGCTATCTGCTGGATCTGTTGTGGTTTTTTCTTCTGTTGTTTGTCTTGCGATAGTATTCCCCATATTCTTAATCTGATGGGAACTGAACGGTGGAGGGAGGAATCTGGCCACGCCCTTCTGACTGGTCACCGACACCAGACTTATGATGTATCACATTGTTATGCATCGTGTACGATATGATATATAGTCGCGTTCACAGACACGTGGTGTATGGTGCTTTACTGCTTGCAATACGAAGTTAACGCATAGGCGTTTCGCCTCAGTACCCAATGGCATCGCACCGTAGGCTACACACCACTTCAATTGCCGCACCTCTCATTCACGAAACGGGCTAAACACTAATTGCCAACTTGGGTTGTACTTGTGATGCCTACGCGAAGCTTCCTAATCCATGGCCCGCTGCATTGCTTAGGAAAATGATGCGGCAGATCTTATCCGGTGTCGAGTACATTCACACTAGCAAGGTGGTCCACCGTGATCTGAAGTTGGAGAATATATTGATGATGAACGAGGAAACGCTGAAAATCAGTGATTTCGGATTTGCGGCTTATGTAGAAGAGGACGAGGTATATATGTGTTAAGCCGCTCATGTTTTCATCATATCAACATGATACAGACTGACTATTCGTAGTACTGACTTCTCGACTCGACAAGTCAAACATAGATTAATATATGAATACACACACACACATATATATATATATATATATATATCCACACACACACACACAC